CATCCTGTTCCTCATCGGCATTGGCAGCTACGCCAGCATCGTCCTCCCCCTCTTCTTCAGGCTCGGACTCTCTGCTGGCCATGGCAAAGCCTTGGTCGATGGTGAACTGGTGGATGGAGTCCAGTACCTTAGTCAGACGGATCCTTAGCGACTCAGGGATGCAAAAAAAAGGGGCGCATATCTCATCAACGTAAGGAACCCTACCTTCAAGTTTGAATTTGACACATTGTCCATCTGGTCGCAGGAAAATGGGAGTGGTATCCTTTCCCCAGACAAAGTCATACCCCTGTTCCAAACATCTCAACCCAATGGAGAGTGCTGAACGGGTGCTTTGAAGAATGTAGGGACTAAAGGATTCACACAACCCTGGAAGAATCACCTCAACTACATCTTCAGCAGTGATGGGACCATTTGCAGTAGTGAGGGAAATGGGTTCATTAGACTTGAAGATCTTAGTGGCCCTATTCACGGTCTTGGAGTCTTCACCTACAATGTCCTGGTCAGCGCCAGTATCTCCTAGCCACTTCTCCATGCCTACAGTGCTTGGCATCGCAGTTACGCGAGCACAAGAGGGCACCTGTTCACCGGTGACCGTCCTACACTTTGTGCAGGACAAGTCATCGGGGCCTTCTGGGGAATGGTCACAAACGAAATCACACGCAGGCTCCTCGGTATCCATCGATTCGAGCATCTGCCTAAGTGATCACCCTCGCGGGACCTTGGACATTCCTCAGTGGTCCTGAACAGGTGTCGCTTTCTGCTCTTATTCACAACATGCCGATACATGTCCTTCCAAACAGGGAAGGTATGCACCTCAGGCTTGAATTCAAAACGACTTCGCTTTTCTTGCAAAACACGGAAAACTGATTTCCCTGTCCAGTCAAACTTCTGTTTCGCGTTTGGGTGTTTCTTCCAATTACCCTTGATTGTCCTACTCTTCCCTTTTGAGTCAGTTACTACCATGGTAAACTGGTCTTCCAACCTAGATGATTCCACGGGACAGGATTTACGTGTTGGGAGAAACGACCTGCTTCTAGGCTTTTAAATGGTGCCTAATCAGTTCCGTGCCATCCTTGGAGAATTCCCAGTAGTCTTTACTCTTTGGGGATTGAGTAGCTGTTGCTGCTAAGCAAGACAGTGCGAAACCTGTTTGAATACATGGACTTGCCTTTGGGCTCGTTTCCTTCTTTTCCTTTTTGCTCTTCTTGTCCTTCTTGTCCTTCTTTGACTTCTTGTCTTTGGACTTCCTAGCCGCGGGAGATGGGCTGCGTCGCTGCGTCTGCGTGAGGCCGGCGTTGCCGTGTCACCGTGTTTGAATCGACATTTGTCACCCCTCTTACAGTTACCCTTTGCAAAGAACCTACACGGTTTCTCCGACTTTCTACCTCTACTTGAACTTCTTGATGAATTTCTAGAACTGCTACAGGAAGACGGTCTCGAAGAACTTCTTGATCGGCTTGACCTGAACGAAGAGCGACCACGTGAGCTAGCACTACGCGAACGCGACGACTCCCGGCTAAGGGAGCGGTGACGAGCGCTAGACTCGTGCGAGTACTTGCATTTGCTACCATACTTGCACTTGCCACTTTTGGCGAACTCATAGCATTGATTGCTGTTGTCACCTTTCGTGCTTTGTTTGCCGTAACTAGGGCTTCGCGCGCGTTTGTCATGTGGCGCCGGGTTTGCATACTTTGCCGAATGCGATTGAGAGATTTTCTCTCTGTTTGTCCTTAGCCGTTCCCTATCAAGATACCGTCTGACAGAGTTGATTAGAAACTCATGGCCTCTGTCATTACTTCCCTCTCGAGCACGTTCATAGACATCAAGGTCAAACCTGAGTTTACGGGACTTCCTAACCTCTCTATAGAAAAGATCCTTAAGTGTAGCTGGGTCCGAAACATGGCTCATTCCAGTCAAAACACTTTCCCATTTCCTAAGAAAGGACTTTAAGTCATCGCTGTCAAGCGAGATCTTGAGGAGGTCCTCTGTTCCGTAAAGGGCGCCCGCTTCTTCGCTAGTTTTGAAATGGACTTCAAAAATGAGCAAAACCTGACGACCACGAACGAACCTAGCTTGCTGTGCCTCAGATTCCTTGAAATTAAGGATCTGCTGAGACAGTTCGCCCTTAGCAACCTTAGTCAAAGCAGCAAGTAGTTTCGTATCTAAGGTCCGAAACTTGCCTGGGTCTGCCGCCTGCCAGCTCCGAACAAAGCTTTGCCTTGTCCTCTCGGACGGCATAGACTTCAAGCACCCACACGAACGCGGCATCTGGGTCATCGGACGCGGACCGAATCGCTTCGCGAACTGTGGCCCTCCAAGCGCGGTACCTGTCAGGACAAGGGAATTCGGGAAGGTCTATTTTATCTGCCTCTTTTGCCTTGGGTTTATCATGGTCTTTGCTTTTAGCACCCTTAAACCCCTCTAGCAAGGCTTTCTTAATTAGTTCACCTAGATCTTGTTCTTGGGGAGTGCGTACCTGAGATGCCGGCCCTTCATCTTTGCGTTCATCTTTGTCAACATTGGCATCCGACTTACTCCTGTACGCCGCCCAAGGATCTGAAGCATCCAACTTTCTCTTGTCTGTTGAAGCTGACGGTTTCTCTGTTGCAGCCGCCCCTGTTCCAGAAAACATTGAAGGGAAACCTGTATTGCGTTTGGTTGCATTTGCATCCATTGCAGTTTTCACAGGAACTCCGCCAAGATCTGGGGGCGAACCATCTACGGTTGACGGTTGCGGGAACTGAGCCTTCTGTTCGTAGAGGTCCAAGAGAGCGGGGTTCTCCGACAGGGAACATTCCAGGTTTCTCCTCAGGCACAGGCGGTTCGGGAAGAAGCGGCCCTAGTTTAGCGGGGCTTTCAAGCTGTGGTTTGCGTTCTTTATTTGCATTGGCCAATGCCTGCACCACCTGCCTGAGCTCATCCATCTCACCTTTCAACATTGCGTTGTCCTTCCTGAGCTCAACTATTGTTTGTTCCTGCATTTCCTTGTCAAAGTTGCTCTGCTTCTTGACTGCTGCAACTTCACTTGAAAGTGTCTTCACTTTTGCCTGCGCTATTGCCAAGGAGCTCGTCAGTTCGGTTCATCGCGATTGAATTCTAGTTCAATAACTTTGCTAGCATCTTCTGCTGCTGTAGCCCTTGCTTGTTGTGTTGCATCTGACGCTGCCTTGAACCTTGCTTCATTCTGTTCAACATATGGCTGATGTTCTGACTTCAATTGCTCCTAATAGCTGTTGCCGTCCGAACAATTCATTGCAAGTTTATTCCTCTCTTGTACTGTTTGCCCGTGGGCTTTTGTGGCTTGAGCCAACTGATCCTGAAAATGCTCGCGCTGCTCTTCCAATGTTTCCTGCAATCGCCTTATTGCAACATTGTCTTGCGCCTGAACATGCTGTTGAGCCTGTTGCTGAACAGTCTGAACGGCCAACTCTGCAACAAGCTTTCACGCTCGTACAAGCTTCTGAACCTGAGCGCCTCAAACTCTGCCTCGCACCTTGACTGCTCACTGAGCTGTACTTCATGTTGATGCAGCTCTCTCCGCAGCTCTGCATCAACCGCGCCTGTATGAACATTGACAACGTTGAGCCTAGCCATTGCCAACGTGTTGTTCACTGTTGGCGCGCCGATTACGGCGGCTGACGGCACACCGGCTAAGGTGGCTTGCGCGGCTTCCTGGAGGGAGATATTCCCCGTCACCATTAAGCACCTGCTGGTATACCTCCGAAGCTCCCTGTGGTCCCATTGCTGCCAACATTTGTTGTGTCTCAGCCATCGCTTGTTCATGCCTCTGAACTGCGTTTGCACCACTAGGAAAACTTGGAACAATGTCAAAACCGCTTCCGTAGGCGTTCGGCACGACGTCGTCGTCCATCGGGTCCATAGCTCTACTCTAGTTAGCCTACGGCTGATAACCTGTATTTTACAGGATCAGCTCAGATTCACTAGCTAACCTAGCTAACCCTGTCTAGCCGTTAAGCGTCCTTTTCACTCTACCTTGAGAGTACACGCTACGGGGTCCATAGGGATGAGGTGAATTTCAACAGTTACGTCATTTGTATTTCCCCTTTCCAAGGTGGGAGTGCACAAGGCAGTCCTTTCTCTGGGCAGGACCAGTCTTTTTGTTGTGCTCCCAAGACATATTTAGTGCTTGTGCTTAGAGTATCCTACATACTCTTTGTAGTAAGTCTCTCGCACGTTGTTCACCCTTACCTGCCATGTGGTTCTTCCTCATGTCGCCGGCCGATCCTCGCATTGCGTGTTTACTAAGGTCCACTTGCATTTCTTGTTTCAGTTTGTGCATTCATTTGGTTCTCACGGCGTTTTGCATTGTATGCTTCCAAGGGCTTAAGTGTGTGTCTGTGTGTGTATTTTCTGTTGAATCGTTTTTTTAGATTTGCATGGTGGAACGGTAAGACAAATGCATTATGACCCGCTGACATTTTTTGCGATATTGTCGGTATTTGTTCTGCTTTCACAAAAGGATGTGGGACTGTAACCGAATTATTGATTGTCGTCTGAGGGTAGATCAAAGTAATACATCCTCATGAAGATAGCTAGCAAGGCTGCTTGGTCTCTAACTGTCATTGCGAGTGTTTACAGTATTGTGATTTGTAATTTGTTTGCCTTGGCCGCTTTGGCCTTCCATTCAGAACCCGCTGTTCTCTATGTTGGGGCTTGTTGCAAGTTTGCATCTCTTCTCCCACTTTGCTTGCATCTGTTACCTTGTCAACAACAGACACAGGTCCTTTACTTGCTGCCCCATTGCTTCGCATCTCTTGTAGCTCTCCCGTAGCATAAAATCCTCCCTGATGTGTCTGTGGGTTGGCTGTCATTCAAATCCTCTCAGCCTAAGCCCCAAAAAATTGCTGAGGCGCTGCTGGTTTCATCTTGTAACACCCAAGAACCAGTACAATCCATAAATAAAGACCAATGCTGCCTGAGGCATTCCAAACGAGCAAACCCTGCCCAATCAGGTAGCTAACTGGACTCAAAGCTCCATCCTGCTGCTTCTCAAGCTTCGCAAGCTCCGCGTGCTCCGCGAACTCCATGAATCAACTTGTTTGTGGTAAAGAAGGGCAGCACAGACAATGGCCGCACCTGGAAGATAGTAACCCAATGTTCTACGAGGAAAAGCAATGTGCATCACTATCAACTGCTTCATCACAAACGTTGAAGTCACCAGTTCCCAGCTTAGCCACAAATTGTTCAATAATGAAATGGTTATCAGCACTGACATCTGATTCAAGGGTCCATATGTCGGGAAGGACACGCCAAGCCAAAGTGCCTGGGGTTTCCACGCTTTTAAAGTCTTTTAAGTGCACAGGTTGCTGTTCCCTGCTTTGCTTTACCTAATGTCGTCCAGCCTGCTGCAGGACTCGATCGGCCCTTGGGCTCAGCCTGACAAGTGCTCTAAACCGAATTCCTGGCCCTAGGGCATCGCTACTAATTAGTACCGTAACAAAGGGCATCGCTATTAGGAGCAAGAAGCTACTAGTAGCTCCTAGCATTACTAGCAGAAACTAACAAGAAACTTAGTAACAAAAAGCCTCGCTACTTGTCAGCCCTGCAGGCATCCCGTTCGTGATGTCGTGCAATTGAGTATCCTGTTTCGGGTGGGGTTTCAAACCTGTGTTGGGGTCCAAGTTCACAATTCTATGTGACGGTATGTGACGGTGGGACTAGGAGTCTATAAAAACAAGCAAGTCAAGCAATGTCAAGCAAGCACTAGCATTTGGTTCGAACTGTCGGCTGTCTCATTAGCTTTGCACTTCAAGCACTTGAGCTATCAGACCCAAAATCCGGAAACCTGCCGACTGATGCCTTTGGAGTCCCATGCTTCGTGACGATTTCTGTAGGTGGCCTCAGGGCTCAAGGAGTTGCGAGGTTGTTCATGGCATTTTTCAAGGCCCTTCTGAGGAAATATATCATATACAAAGCCAAATTCCACTGCACGCCACAACAAAAGCATGCAAAAAAGAGGACTTGTCAGAGCCAAGGAACACATTGGATGCCAATGGTTTCCAGCTGGAAATCGACACCATGTGGGCTTCAAAAGGTCACAATGTTAAATTGACAATTGATATCTGAGGCCTGTTCTTCGTCGTAATTGTAAAAGCGACAACTCGGTCTCAAAGTGTTTAAGGGATAGTCTGGGTTGGAAGTGTTTTGTTTTTGTTACAGGTATGTTTGTCTCATCGGAGTGCATCGTGTTGATAAGCAGCTGGCAAGCTAATCGAAAGCCCTGACGTTCACTCTGTTCAAATAACCCTTGGATCTGACCTATCTCTTGCCGACAAAAATGCACAAAACTCACGCATCCATGCATGTGTTCCTCTCTATGCCTGCCGGATGCGAACTGAAGTTCTTAGGACAGTCTGGACACGGTTTAGATCTATAAACAAATCGTCAGTTCACCCTTTGGTATCACAAGACGGGAACTCGCAAACATCAGTGCACACTTTTTCTCTGTCGAGAAACTGGTGTTCATTGCGTTGTGGCCTTAGGCCACTGGGCCTGGCTTCGCTCTCGAAGGTAGCGGTGGCTTATGGACGAACTGTTTCAAACGAAAAGCGCTGTGAAGATCCAGGTGTGGGTGGGCGGGCGCTTTTCGGGCGAAAGAGACGGTGCACCCACCCACCCACCACTTGATCCAGCGCAATGGCGAGAACATGTGTGAAACCCGGAGCCTCCTCCCTGAAACTCGAACTGACAACTCGATCCCCGTTGGTGAGTTTCATTGTCAATTCACCGTTGGTTTTCACGAGACAAGAACTCGCGCCCTCTCTCAACATTTGTAAAGTAGAGATATGATATATTCATTCATTTCAGAATCTGTTCAGTCACCAATCCTGTTTCTCCTCTGTGCTTGCTCTGACATGCGCCCGACGCTTGCTTGCATCCAATTTCTCTTTCTCCTTCAACACAACAGCCTGCTTCAGCCATCATTTCCACCATTCAGCCCGAAAAGAACTCATTCGATGGTCATCCCAATCCAAGTTCTTGTCCAGCACAACCTTCAAGTCCGGTGGCACTTGGTGATCACCCAGAAGTTGGTGGCCAGCTTTGCACGCCTGCTTGATGCAGGTTTCATAGTTCCATGGAAGGCCAAAACTTATAGGACCGGATAACCCCACATGTGAACAACTTCGAAAGTTTGAGGCTGCAGGGGTAAAGTGCGGAAGAGTGAGCGTGGGGAAGAGACAGGCGAGACAGATATAAGGCGTGAGGGTCTCTGTGTGTACGTGAGGTGTGTGTTTGCGTGTGTGCGCTTGTTCGTCAGTGTGTATCAGTGTGTGGGTGGATGTATGCTGCTTGGCGCTTGTACTAAAGTTGTACTAGAAAGTCGCCAGTTCTCATCTTCCAGCTCCCCAAATACTCCGCGTACTAAAGTTGTACTACAAAGTCGCCAGTTCTCATATTCCAGCTCCACAGACGCTGCGTACCTGGCACGAAATCTGCACATGGAGGTTCACAAAGTGCTGTGCCTGCCACGAAGTCTGCGCCGGTGCCCAGCCGACGCCAGA